GGGGGGGGGGGGGGGGGGGGGGGGGGCAGAGAGCAACGTGAACGGAGCGTTTTCGTTGTCTTCCAGAGAGCGGCCGAGAGAGAGAGGAGGTCACACACGCGCCGGGAAGAGTCGCCGTCGCGTTCTCTTCGTCTTCTCTTCCTCTACTTCGTCTCTCCGCTGATTCCGCGCCCGGGCCGACCGTCTCCTTCGTGCTCGGGGACCCGAGCGAGACGGTCGACCGGCGAAGACACGCCGGTTGCGGCAGGTCGCGAAGAACGGGTCTCAAGATGGCCTACATTATCCGGCGTTATCGGTGAGAGGAGGAACCAGGACGGGCCGGCGGCGCGACTCGAGCGAGCTGACTAGGCGGTGAGGCCAGAGGAAGAGGGGAACAATGGGACAAGCCTGGTGCAAGGAGAGGTCCTGCAAGGCCCAGGACTCCAAGTCGCCGTTGGATCGCGTGTTCGTGCGATGCGCGCATCGGGTACGTAGACCGGCGACCACCGAAATCCACCCGCTTCTTCCTTCTTCCCTTCTGTCTCTGTCGTCCGTGCGTTTGTGTGCTCGCGACCAACCGATGTTTTCACGCGAGTGATGATTCCCGTTCGCGGCCGTGTAAATCGCCGGTGTCTGAACGTTCGCGGTTCCCCACCCGATCTGAATCCCGTCCACGATTCGTCTCGTCGGGGAGAAGACGAGGCGAATTCTCTCGGCATTCCCCGGCGAAAATTGACCAGGAAAGGTCTCCTCTCGCGAGAGAACGTAAAGAGGAGGAGACTCTGTGTCCCTACCCCGTTAGATCTGCCAGCGATTTACGTCTCGTTGAAATTTTCCAAATCGCTGGAACGCAAGTCGCATTATCCTTCCTCGAGCATCGGATCTCGCTTTCGAAGGACAATTCGCGGGACTGCGTAGGAAACAGTCCGATAACTTGTGGCATGACTACGCGCGATGACTATCCCGCGTAATAGCCGTGGCGTGTCACGAGGGAAACATCTGTTTGCCGTGTAATTTCGCACAACACCGGCGTTACACCGGCCGTTTCCGCGCGACGAGAGGCGAGGTATGAAAATAAAAAGAGCACACACAGACAGCGGGAGGGGGGGAGCTGCTGGTGTTGCACTTGAAACGGATACGGAGATGCGTCCTCGTTATTATATAACGTGCCTCGCACGCGCTCTCGCACGCACCGCAGATTGCGCGGAGGATTTATGACGTGCGTATTAGGCGCGCGTGTCACGCTAATTTGGAGAATCTCAGATATGCGGACGCGATCGTAATCGCCGGTGCAACGCCGACTTTCAGCGACCGGATTAGATCGACAATGTTTCGACTGATTAAGGCAGCTCCATCGGTGGGGAAATTTGATTAGGCGATTTCCCCCTGATTTTCTCTCCTTCACCCGTTAATTTTCAACATTAAATACCTCCCTAAATAAATTTCGTATTAAAATTCCCGCAAGAGAATTTCCCGTAGTTAAAACTCGAAATTAAATGAGAGAATAATAATTTCGCTGTCTATTTTAATACCCGGGACTCAGTCTGCGGTAAGCTTTTTACTTTCGTTCGTTCATAATTCAAGATCTTTCGACGCTCCGACATTTCCGCTGAAAAATCGCCTTCGAATCGTTTACAAAACGTATCCAGGCGAGTTCGGCCGTCTCTTTTCGAGCCAGTCTACGTCGGGAAGACTGAATCTTTCAGATGATAGTTCGCGTATATTTCATTGTGACTTCGTACCTTCGAATGTAAAACCAACAACGTACACGAAAAATTGAGTTTAGTTGGATCTACCTGACAATGGACAACCGAACGCATTTTGATTGAAAAAAACCGAATTTCTGGTCACGGTAGTTAAGTTTGGTTCATGAGAACTAGAAGTGTCGCTTCCGTCAATCAAAACGCGTTTGGTTGTACATAGTCAGGTAGATTCCACCAAGCTTATTATTCAGTGTATGTTTCCACTTCATCGCGTGGAAACCTGACAATGTCCTCACTTCCACTCAAGAGCGGGCGACAGTATATTTGACGCGTTAAGCATCGATTGATTTGATGCAACGTGACAGGACAGATGGCAATCGGAAGATCGGAAGATATTCAACAGAAGAAGAAGAGAGAAGGAGAGAGAGAGAGAGAGAGAGACAGGAGGAAACGTGCGTAATTCACGACTGAGATACAGCCAATTAGATGTGATGCGATAAGTTCGACAATACGACGGTGTTAAACGAGAGAGTCCGCGACGCGCGTCAAGGATTTCTATGCAAGAAACGACAGGAGGAGAAAAAAATCGAGCGCGAGGTCATCGCTAGATTACTTTTCACGCTTTTCACTTCATTCATATCAGGGGAAAATAATTCGCATTGAGAACCCGACGCGGTCTTCGCGCGACAAAGTGAGAAAAATGTTCGCTACGCAAACGCAAGTATTATTCTTCTGCGAGTGCTCCCCCTTCCCCCCCTTTCTCTCTCACTCTTTTTCTCTCTAGTTGTGCAAATGTTTCCCGGCCGACTCCTATTGTACGACTTTCTCTCTTTTATACACAACAAATTTTTATGTGAAATTTTACACACGAGAGACGGTTTTATTTTCATGCAAAAGATCGCGCACGGGCACGACGGTGCCACACGGTGGAAGTCGCAGGCAACCAATAACAACGACCGGCTCGAACGATGAATGCGACACGAATACTTTTGACGTGCGATCGTATTGCTTTGGCACTTTCACTAACACGCTCTTCTTCCCGTGCGCGCTCTTCTACCTGCGCCCACCACCGGACCGGTGACACGTTACCCGGTGATTAACAAACAATTACCTTGCACCAGCCGGATCGGAGTTGCCGGATCGCGAATCGTCGAGGTATTTTTAGACCCGATCAAATTCTTCCTCCGTCGTACGCTATTCATCTGTGCGCTTCTGAATTCCCGCGATTCGAGAGAAGCGAAATCTCATCCCGCGATTTCGCGCCTGTCTGCCCCGTCGAACCGGGGAATATTCCGTATGTCGTCGTCGTTGCTTTCAGACGACCTTTTTCTGAAACGTTTGACGAGAGAATACATCGGAAACCTCGGAGCGAGCCGACCTGGTTTGAATTGTTAATGAGACATTACTAATATCGCTGTTATGCATGAGCCCGTCGAAATGGAAAACACAACGTCCTTAGTGACGCTTGTACGGGATCGCGCGTGTGTGGGTGAGCGTACGTACGTGCGCGCTGGTACAGCCCGTAGAATGCACACACAGAGACATTCACGTGATACTTCGCCGTGTGTACTTGTGATTGAAGGCACCGGTACGACAGAATAAAGATTACGTAAAGCACAGCGCGCGGAGCGTGCAGAGCTCGTATCTTTACACGCTGGACTCTGTCTCTTTCTCTCTCTGTCTGTCTGTCTCGCTCGCTCCGACGGACGCCTCTTTTATGCCGCGGCGAAACAATCTATGTATGTTTGCGTATCATTAGAGACGGTTAAAGCCGACTCTTGAAGTGAGCGGCCGACGAGACAGTTTTTTCGGGCGGGCTGCTCGCGTCGGATCGCAATTAGGCGGTCGTTACGGGGATTCAACTGCCGCGACCCAACTTGACCAGGAAATGACGTTATATTCCGCGACGAGGCGTGAAATTCACTGGAATGCGGCGCCGAAGCGTCTTCTCGCATAAATATCGGCGAAGTAAATATTAGCAGCATTAATTTGGATGAAACGACGGGCTGATCGCAGGACGACGCAAACGGGATTGCCGCTTTTCGTACACACTTTAGGTACACACAATTAATATATTTTCGATCCAATGCGTTTGTAACGTACGTGGCGCGACGGTTGCGTACGTTTATGTATCAAGCGGTCGAATAAATATAATTACCAAGGTGATATTAAAATTGTCGACCTTCGAGTTTCAGCTGCAGAGAGGAAGACGGTAAACGAATGAAAAATGAAATTCCACTTTCATTCTTCCCTCGAAAACTTTATGTTACGTAAGAAATAATCAATCGTAAGACCGTAAAAATTCTGCGGTCGTTAAATCCGACGAGATACGTATTCGTCGCATAATTTCGCATAATTTCGCGGCCGAGGGAAAGACAGAGGAAGAGAGAGGGACAATCGCACTTTCGAGCGATGCAGACGCAGCTTCACGGAGGTAGACGTTGGCCGATCGACCTACACGCTACTGTATTATTAATAGATAGTGAAAGTTACATTAGATATTTGTGCAGGAACTCAGAAAATTGCCCACTGTCACGGAGGTATATAAAACTTTGGTAATAACAGGTGTCGCAATATGCGCAGATTTCACGCTAGGCTCAACTTCTTGCCGTATTAATATTTGCCGAAACGGCTGCCGCGCGAAATACCTTCGCGAACAGTAAATCTCTTTCCCGCTGGCATAACAAGGCTTGTCTTATTCCGCAGGAAATGCGTGTTTTCTCTGCGCGTAATATGCGAACGATTCGACTCCCCGCTCGTGAAACTAATTGCGTGAAATTACGCGAGCGAAATTCTCGTCGAGTTTAACGTCGAATGTATCGATCAGAAATTTATCGCGTAAAGTGCAACGGGTTCTTATTTAGCGATGATATTTAGCGATTTTAATAGAAACAGAGATTAACTCGCATCAGTTCGAATAACGAGATTTATCTGCAATGCATATGTCGCTAATCCAGCTATGCGGATAAATCTTTCACGTTTTCATATTTTGCAGATTAACTCAATTTCCGCGTAACAACATCACTATCGATCCGTGATAGAATTGTTTTACAGGGGAGGACAATCACGATTAAAAATTCATTAATTTCCATTCGTCGTTACACGGGAGAATCGTTCTGAAAAGTAAGCGCGATAGAAACACGAATATCCCATCACGGAAGAATAGATTTTCAGCTATAATAATCTAGCGTCTGACCTAAGCTGTCCCATACATCGTATGTTTGTACTTCGAGTGTACCAAAAAGTCCTCTACCATTTCGTGATAAATAATCTCGCAAATTTCTTAGTTATCAATTAGATGAAGTCTCTGTGCATGCGCAGAAAGGAAGATTTCTTTGGAATTAACGTTGGATTTCTTTGATATAAACGACACAATTTAATATCAAATATCGCGCGTCATCGGTGGACACTTTCGCTCACGGGGGTAGGGAGGGAGGGGG